CCCGACCCCCCGACTCCCCGGCGTCCTCACCCGCGGAGGCGCGGCAGTCTGCACTCGCCGCCAGGCGCGTCGGACTCTACCCCACGGGGCTGCAGAGTACCGGATCCGGATCCGGCTTCAGCGCCAGCCGCACCTCCCGCCCCGCCAGCGCCACAGCGGGGAACTGCGGCCCAGACGTGGCAGGGCCAACGCCTCCGCCCCGCCCCTGCCCCCCACGCAGGGCGGCGCGCGGGCGGGCGCAGGCGGAGGGCGACGCGGCAACCACGGGCTCGGAGCTCCGGGCCGCGGGGCGGGGCGCGTTGTGGGGCGGGGCTCTGGAGGTCATGGGGCGGGCCGCGGGGGCCGCAGGGGTGGGGCTCAGGGGTCAAGGGGCGGGGCTGGGGGCGGGACCGTGACGTGTCGGCGCTGGGCGGTGGCGCCGGCACCGGAAGCCCGCCCTCCGGATGTGGAGGGAAACCTCGCTGAGTAAGATCCTTGCTGCGTCTCTGTCCCAGTGAGACAGAAGTAAGTCCACTTGGGAATCATCAAGCAACGTAAGTTGTGACGAGCTTGGGTCCCTTCGGTTCTCAGAGACCGACTCTTGCCCCTTGTTACCTTCTTTCACGATCTTGTCCATCCTTTAAGACCTGTACCTGGTGGCCCTCCTGGCTCCTGGTTCCTAGGAGTTATGCATGAGTAGCTGTAGGTATCTTATTTTTCACGTGTCCCTTTCTTTGGAGTGTCTGGTTTCACGGTCTGACTTTACGAATCACATTTATTGCTGTTTGTCAAGTTTAACACTAAGGGTTTTGTTACTTTTAAGCAAATTGAAAAACTTCCAATACAAAGTGTTTTCTTTTTACTACAGCATAAAATGGTAAGGAATTGGAAAAAGAGCTTTGCACAGAAATGTGAAAGAACTCTCAGAAAATAGTTGTTGGCCGGGTGTGGTGGCGCACGCCTGTAATCCCAGGGCGAGGCAGGATCGCCGTGAGTTCGAGGCCAGCCTGGGCTACATACTGAGTTTAAGGCCATCATGGACTACATAGACTCTGTCTCAAAAAACCAAAAAAAAAAAAAAAAAAAAAAAAAAAAAAAAAAAAAAAAAGAAAAGAATATAGCCTTTGGCATCATGAAACAGTGAAAAAAGGTATTTTAGTTGGCTTTATTCTTTGTCCTTTTTGCAACATCAAATGAAGT